AAAAATAATAGCAATAAATAAATGCTGTTTATGAATCCAATGCTCCGTCTTAAAACAATTTCATTAATTAAAGTTAATGCAGCAAAGACTTTCAAAGTACGGTACCGGCAGAAGCTTTGAAATGAATGGGCTAAATATTGCCCTTTTCTTTTGCCTTTTTTGGGAAGCATCAAGAACCCAACCTGGACAGTAAAAAGTTTAGTCTTACGTATTATATATGGGGAAAAGAAGGCCGCCAAAAGCAGTAGGTGCGTCTTTTTGCAAGAGCGGCGTTATTGAATGACTTTGTGTGTTTTCTTTCCTCGAATCTAGTCTTCTTTGTCTTTCAGCCGCCCCTGTACGTGTCCCTCCATGAAACCATTCATCACTGCCACTGCCACCTCCATGGCCACATCACATCATGGAGGTGGAAGGCCCGCGCCCCCACAATGATTTAATCGAGTGTAGGACCACAACATAACTGACAGCATTTTGGGAACTGCGTACACCTCGGGCTTCTGCAACCGTGGGTGTGGCTTTGGCAGAGATAAGGATGGTCCAATCGATAACAATTTGACTTTTGAAGTGCGTGTTCCTCAACCTTCATCTCATATCGCCAAACTACTAGTCGTCTACTACTGCTACTACATTTCATTAATCTTCCATGCTAATTCTACATCTAGAGCTTAATCTGCATTTTCATGTTCTCCATCTACTTTGCTCGAGCCAACCCATACTCACTAGTGATTTTGGCCCAATCCCATCGACCAAAATATAAACTTAAATAACACATGCTACCATTTGTTTCAACTATCTTTCATACATATACAATTGTATATACATATATATATATATATATGATTGGACTGCAAATATAAAATAAAATCATTAAGTCCATCTCTTCTATGTCAAGTTATTCTACTTGTCTTCTAGTGCTCAATGGAAGAAAATGTCTCTTTTAGCGCAAGAGATCTAAATTACAGGTTAAAATTGTCTTGATTGTTGGCCTTAATTTAATAAAGTTGTTATCTTGAATCATGTGAATTTATACTCAACCATGTATTAATGCAATTTATATATATAAGATCCAAAACCTACAAATTTTATGACTCTTCTTTCCCTCCGCCTTATATATATCCTCCGTCAATAATGTGAAAGGTTTATCATACTAGTCATTATCTTTTATGAGTTCTCGTTGAAACAATTTCATTAATTACATCTTTTTGTTGAAAATAATTATTATCCTCTTTTTATGCTATTTTAATTTATGAAATAGAGACATATTGATAATCGTATTATATGATTTTTTTTAAAAAGAAGATTTCCTTTTTCATCTTGAATCTCATTAAATTAGCTAAACATGAAAAGTGATTCCATAAATATTCTTTATAAGAAAGAAAAGAAAGATACATAATAGATAGTAATTATATGTTATATATTAAACAGCCCCTGATTTAAGCCATGTTCAAAGGGTGAAAGCTTAGGCAAGAAGGCAGTTGAAATGATTAAATATGACGCCTAGGGCATGGTACCTAAACCACACGCAACTCAATCATGTTTGTTGATGTCAAACACGAAAAGAGAAGAGCAACCACTCCAAGGAGAGCATAGCTTGTGCTGGCACTCGAGCTATATATATGATTAGACAGAACCTATATTTAATATATGAAAGCAATCAAATTCAAAACAATCAATGCTTATTATTAATTTTGAAAAATCGTATGGGATTCTAAGTTTGCTTGTTGAATGTAATACGCAGATTTTGTCCCTTACGGGCTTTGTCCTTCACCTATTAATATATATATATATATATATATGTATGTATATATATAGCTGCTGCACCTTTGCTTGATCATTGCCTAAATTAAAGCTAGCTGAGTTTCTCTGACAATAGTTTCTCTTCTCTCATAAATATTAGAGCAGATAGAGGGACGAAAAACATGGCTCTAAGATGGTTTGTTCATTCAGCATGTCATGTTTTGGGGTACCCAAAGGACGACCACCCTAGTCACTTGCAGCACTGCAACAACATGGGAAGCTACCAAAAAGAAGGACATAGCGGTGGAGTCATTCGGAGCTCGAAGGTCTCCAACGGTGAGCAGCTGTCGACCCAGACCGCAGAAATGCATCTCTCGGGGTTCCAAATGCCTCTCCACTACCCTCGCTACACAAAAGCTGATTACCAGAAGATGGAGGAGTGGAAGGTGGACGTGCTTCTGAGGGAATATGGGCTAAGTTTCAAGGGCACCCTCGATGAGAAGAGAGCATATGCAATGGGGGCATTCTTGTGGCCTGATCAGTATTGATTTTACTTCATGTTCATAACTTGGCAGATAAACATATTCGGTGTTTGCAGGGCTGAGAATCTTTAGCTAGCTCCATCCATAAATTATGTATCAAGCTGCTGGTAGCTGCATGCAGTTAATATCTTTATTAGTGTTAACATAGTTGTGTCTGGTGTGGTCTTGTCGTAATTAAGCGTGATGGGCGTGGAACTTGAATTTTGTTTAATGGAGTTGTATGATCTTAAGAATAATATTGAAGAGAGAGGTGGAGGGATCGAGATACACCTACACATGTCTTTTTCCTCCTTGAGCTTAAATATATCAGTTAATCTCGTAGGTTTTTTCTTAATATATATATATATATATATATATATATATTACAATAGATCAACTAGTTGGAGCTTGCCTAAATTAAATATCTCATGGCTACCACAAGTGTGTGGACGCTTTCACAAAAGTCAGACAATGCTTGGTTGTATGTATTTTAATATTAACCATAATAATAAATAAAATTACAAAAACTTATGTCAGAATCAAAAAGTATACCGAATGTCATATATGTAACTATTTAATTATTAAAAAATATATATTTTATTAATTATAAAATTGATTACAAAAGGTTTAAAACTCGTATCATCAAACCACAGGAGCAGCTTTAGATAATTCTTTGCAAATATACTTTTACCAGTAAAGTAGCCTAACAATTTACTGACTGTTTACCCTCTATAAAGAGTTTACAAGATTTTACAAAAATCTTACCAATACACATTAGAACGTTTAAAATGAGGATATTCTTTTTCTAAAGGGTTTCTCCTTTAAAGACTTAACAAGTTTTTATGAAGCTGTGATCAGTAGACATTACATTGTTTGAAAGTAGGACACTTATAAAAGACTTAATCTCCTAAATAAGGTTGGCTCATGACAACAAGCATCAAAGACCTTTAAAGAAAGAGAATTAATTATTATGCCAAATCAATACCACTATAGACACGAATCGTCTTGTGTTTTCAACACTTTAATTTTGGTGAAATGATATCCCACATCAGCACCAAAATGAGTATGATTGTAAGGCGTTGGTGAATTCATGGTAAGCCTGATAACTTTCATATTTTGAGGGAAGCTAAACTTAAAAGCATTGGCGATAACACATTAGAGTAAGTAATCAACCTTTAATTTTGCTCGAGCTTTGTCATGATCAATACTATTCATCGTTTTAGAACTTGATCTTTCCACTCAACATTAATTTATTTGCTCTTTCTTTTTCATGAAACCACTAGAGAAATATTGAAAATTATGTACACTACGCTTATATCACTTATCCATCTTAATCCATTATCAGAACAAAGAAAAAAATCAATATGACTTTAAACCTTGTTAACAAGAAAGACAAATGAAAAGGACTAGCTAGAAGAAGCATAATTTGGGACACTTAATTGATCAATTTGCGGGATAAATCCAAACCCCAAATTCTTTTTGATTGCTTCCTCTTAACCAGGGAGGAAAATTATATATATTGTAATGATTAAGAAGACATTCTTATAGGCAAGATGTTTGTCCTGGAAAAGAGAGAGAGAGAGAGGGGAGATGGTGCTTCTCTTTGAATCACTAATTTCAAAAGTGGACCCTTAAATATATAATTATATCTATAGGGTCCACATAATTCTTTCAAATTTGCACATAACTTTCTGGACCTTCGAATTAAGTGGGTAAAAGGTGAAGTCATCCTGATGCAAGTAACATTAGTGGTGACAGCTGCTGGAAACTTCAGAGAAAGCAGATTCATTTACAGCATCTTCCATTACTTATGCCTCCCATTTTTATGAAATATACGTACGTATGTCTATACATATATGAAATACATTGGAAGAAGTCCTATTTACCTTGCTGTCCTTCACTTTGTTACAATCAAGATACCTAATTTCGAGATTTCATCAATGCCAAAGCAAATTTGGGACTAGTATGAGAAGGGCAAGACCCTACATGTTCACTCAACAACACCCTTTTCAAGTTCAAGCAATTATCGACCCAAGCACACAACATTCTAGCAAAGAGAGACACCATCCAATCATCCCTTCACTGTATTTCGCCTAATTAGGGCTCTTTAATTTTGGTCACATATAATTATAATTAAACAACAAATCATCATGGATGAATATGAGCAGAAGATGAAGCTCCAAGCTGTTGGCAAATTATACCACAGAGACCACTTCCTTAAAAGAACTTTGCAGCTTCTTGTATCATTTGCTTTGTTGTCGTTCGTCATTTGCCACTCTTCGGGCTTCTTTGTGTTTCCCCATTCCTTCAATGTTTACTTCTCCACGTTCCTTTTCTCGTTCTTCACCCACGCCCTTGAGAGGAAGTACATGTTCCTCATTTGCAATGGAATCCTCGCATTTCTAGCCAAAAGCTCGGTGTCTAGCAGCTCTTCACCATCAGAGTCTGATCTTGGTGCCCAGATACCGACATCATCAACAAACTTAACCCAAACTAACGAGGCGGTTCCAAGATATTCAGATGATGGTGATAATGATGTACCTCTAGTAGCTGAAAGAGAAGAAGCAGAAGATGCTTACGAAAATGAGGTTGAGGAGCAAGGAGAGCAGGGCAATATTGAGCCTTTAGGTAGAGGAGAAGGGGAAGAAGACGATAAAGAAAGAGAAAGTGAGGTTTCTGTGATTCTGGAAGATGAGGAATACAAAGAAGGAGAAAGTGGGCTGGTGATGCAAGAAGATCAGCACAAAGAAGAAGGTGCAGGAGCACCACTAGCAGCAGATGAAGAGGTACCAAGCACAGAAGAGTTAAACCAGAAATTTGAAGAATTCATAAGGAAAATGAAAGAAGAAATCTGGATTGAAGCTCAACAACAACTGGTTACAGTGTAATGCATATATTCGAAGAAAAATAAATTTATCTGCTAGCTAAGTCTGTGATTTGGTCTCTTTTAAGCTGGCCAAAAGCTCCCATCTGCCTTTCATGTTATGTGCAGTAATTACTTAATAACTAGATCATTTTCATCAGTCTGTTGCACTTGAATTCTCTCTTTATTGGTACTTTTGCCATTGTGTTTACTTCAAATTGCTCTAGACTGCAACGTTTTCTGCTTTTGATTTTGCTCCTTTCTTCCAAAACAAATGGGAAGAATGTGAAACAGTAGATCTCCAGGTCCAGTCCCGTACGTTGAAAGTATGCAGTGTGGTGTTCTGTTTTTTTGTTTTTTGAAAAGCATGTCTTTATTCTTCCAATGCCAGAATGTCATACCAAGCTTCAGCCTGTCTGGCAAAAGGCTTTCATTGACATAAAGAGGTCTGGTTTATGGAAAATGCCTCTAGCCTTACAAAAGCTTAGCACTGCACGACAACACTTGCTGCCTGACATAAGTGTGGTGTTCTGTTGGGTGAAGTGTTGTAGAGTTTAGTGAAAATTGCTAGAATGGACTAGGATCTATAACACTTGCTTCTATATAATAATCAAGCAAGTCATACTAATAAGTTTGATTATTTAATTAATACTACTGACAGATTTGAATAACTAAATAAGACAATAAGATGCTGATGCAATTACTTTAACAGAAGCAGCTTTCCTCCAAGACATTCTCATCTTGAAGATCATTATTTATTAATTAATTTGTAATTTGTAAGCTCAACCTATTCCTTTAGTATCCTTTGCAATCAAAATTTGAGTCATATATAGCTCCTAATATCTTTATTGAAGAAGCCTCGGCAGAGGGAAAAAAACAGTAAAGAACAGAAACGTGATGAGATATTAATGAGACTTTCTTATCACATGATTATCTAAGACCCACAAAAGAGATAAGTATAACTGTATAAGGTTTCATTGGAATTGACATAAAGGAAGCCTAGATGAAAATTTCGAGAACAACGGGCGAAAAAATCTCTAATCAGCTTTCCAAACATTTGGTTTTCAGTAATTCATACCCGATCATTGTTTCATTATAGACAGAAATATTATGACACCAAATGAGCCCGACATAACTTTCCACGTGCTTCCATTTCCTTCAAGCTGAGCATCCTCGATTGGAACTGCCACAAGTTCATGATCATAATCATTATAATGGGTTTCAGGAAAAGAAGAAAAAAGCAACTGCAGATGATCCGAGGTGAGGCCTATATTGATCCATCACAAGATTTCAGGCTAGCATGAAAACCAATAATTAGATGCGTTGATGGAGGAGTAGCTAGCCATGTACACCAAAAATATCAACTACATGGAGGAAATTTTGAGCTTCTTGAGTTTGATATACATCATATTTATGTGAGAAAAAACAGACAATAATGAGATGTATAATAATTGATAGCAGATCAGTGCTACCCATTTGTCATGTACTACTTTGCACAGTTGCAGACGAACAACCTTCAATGCTGTTCCGACACTCGTGTGGCCAGAAATATGCAGCTTTCATATTCATTTATAATTGTGTTATTTACTGACAAACACCGTGGACAATACAGTCAGCACCTTGGATGAGTCATTTCAAATTCATATACTTGCTAAGGCAGACCAGATATGGAGGGAGGGCGATGTCTAGAAGGATCCCATAGTGGCGGGCATCAGTGAGAAGCATTGCAACAAGGGGAAACACGTTCCATCTGTCTGCAAGTGGAGACAAAGAAGTAAGACCAAATAATTGTCAATAATTCTTGTATGGAACAGTTCAGCAGTCAAACCAAAACAACTTTTTTATCCCAAAAGAATGCATAATTTCTTTTACTACCAAAATCAGTACAATTTTGCCATACCTAGCCTGGCCATCTCCATGGGGAAGGCATGAAATGCGGGTCCAGATAGGGCAGCTTGCGGGCTCCGCAATTGTGCAGAGCCTAGACAATTTTTCAGGTCAAGTTGAAAACAAAACAATAGGAGAAATCAAAAGGTAAAAGTAGCACAGACGATGCTGCTTTTCAAATATTCCTGCAGAGACATTGTCCTTACAGCTGGCTGCAATAGCAAGCTTTCATGTCAAAGAAGTGCGAAATTACAAGCAGTGCTAAGAGTAACTGCAGAATTCACAGAGAGAGAACAACAAGTGTCATCAACAAATGGGAAAAAAAAAACATATATAAAGATTAAACCGAGAACTCTCAAGTTGTATAGATTTGTCAATTTCTCCTGAAACTGCCTGGGATAGAACCAGTGACAAGATTGTATAGAACATGGTAACCCAACTTTCAGTGGCTTAAGACTTTGAGATGCATTGGCAGATTAGTATTCCTATTTTTTTGACCTGCAACATTTCCAGCCAGATAAAATACAACTTCATTTTAAATCCAAGAATAGAGCCCTCCATCGGAAGGAAATGCCTCATCCCCTAATAAGATGCCATAGCTCAGCAAGCTTCAACTCGGCAAGTGTCTTGAGACCAACAAACTCTATAAACTGTGCGTCTTAATCTTCATTTTTACACAGTGGATATACTGTTGCCTGGGTTTTAAAATCTCCAGGATGCAAAGGAAAAACAGTGAATATTTTTCAAACATTTCTGGAAGGGATTTATTCAGATATCCTTGGGATTTAGAACTACCATTACATTCCAAGCTCACAATGGAGATAGCCACAATTGTTACTAGGATACTACATCTCGTTGGCAAGCCAATCCAGACTTATACAGGATTCTAGACTGATCTTCAAGTGCTCAACAAGTGTACTGTAAAAGCACAACACGAAACTATTGTTATGATACAATGAGCTCCAAAAGCACAACTCGAAACTTATGCATAGTCTGAAATAAAATAAATATAACTATAGAAATGTACCGTAAGCAAAAAAAGAACAGAAATGGAGATTATACAAAAAATCTTTCACTTGATATGAAAAGAGCAAATAAGCCAAATGAGAAGGCAGCAGCAGAGTAAGTTCAAAACATTACTTAATTTGCTTTATTATTTCAAAGATGGGTAGGAGGGCTGAAGAAAACATTAATGACATCTTACATTCACGCCAGCTAATGAAATTTCACATTTCATGTGTCCCAATCTACATTTTTTGCATTCTGTTTCATGAAAGAAATAACAATGAACTTGTCAACAGCCGATCAACAATATAATATATTCTCCAGCATATAGTTCTGATTGTCACTTATTCTCAACATGGCATCTCTTCTGTTTGAATGTAGAAATTGAGTGCATGCCGACAATGACCTGATTAGCTTCATGGAACACTTTCTTTTAATTGGTTATTACTTTCATTGATGAAGCATCAAGCAATTCTTTTTACTCCGAAGAGCCGCTTTAACCACTCCATAATTAACCAGCTGGGGAAAGTGTAAAATCCATGGGAGCTGCATCACTCTCTGGCATATCTCTAACCTCATTGAGGAGTCTTGTGAGTTCCTTTGTCAGCTCCCTACGCATATAATCAGAGCGCTCTTTTGTAATTGATGATTCTGTAAATAGAGTTTCGGTTAAGGACTGGAATTCTTGAAACCATTCATCATCATTATCAGGAACAGAATGATCATCATAAAACATCAGAGAGCTTTCTCTTCGCCATCTACTTAGAAAATATTTATCAGGAAGTTGAAAGTAGTTCTTATCTATAAATACACGAAGAGCATGTCGGCATAATATTCCTGAAGACTCAAACTCCTTACAGGAACAGTGAATCTGTTCATCTTCTGGAATCCATATAACAAGACTTTCTCCATCAATCTTCCTGAAATGACGTACAAGATATGATCCATTAGCCATTTCAGATGCAGCATACTGCATGCTCACGATTAATTCATGTTGTAGAGCATTGAAGGCAAAGGGTGTAAGAATTTGACGTGAATGCTGTTCAATGGGCAAGCATGTTTTCAAAAGCATATGCTGCATTTCTTGATGTGGCTGGTTTTGTATATTGGCTGCAATGCCAACCTGAAAAATTCCAGCCAACTAAATAACAATTAACATATGACAAAACTCAGTTGAAGGATTACAAGAGAACATTCCTAATTAACATACCTGCTCAAAAAATCTACGTAAACTCGTTTGAGCACTGAAAATTCCTTTCAAGAATGCATCTACAGACTTTGAGTAGGCTGTTGTCACCATTCGAGCAAGAAAATAACCTCTCACATATGATTGTGCCCAAGAAGTACGAAGAGAGTAGAGTAAAGTAATGTGTTTATCTGAGCCAAGTCCAAATATGGAAACCATTTGATTCCATCGTAGTTCAAAATCCTCTGTACTCTCCAGACGATATAATGCATCAAACTCTGATTTAAATTCTGCATACTGAGATCCAAGTTGAAGAGGGAACCAGCTAGATACCTTGGGCATTATGTTCCATATAGACATAACTTGTTTAGTGCTTGGTAATTCACTTCTTATAGCATCTCTAAGCCCTGGATCAAGATCAGTTGAAATTGTCTGTGGACATCTCCCTTTCATGAAGCCGATAAATGTCTGCACCAAAAGGGAAAAGGGAAAATTGTAAAGAAGACTATAAATGAAATCCTATTTAATACACAGAGAACTATAGAAGCAAACCTGTAAAGCCCATGCAAAGGAGCGCATTGTTTCATCCTGCAATAGAACGCAACCAAAGAAAATTGGTCGGCCATTGTTGTCAATTCCAATCCATGCCCCGAAAAGCATATCATATGTGATTGATCTATAAGTGGTGTCAAAATAAACAACATCACCATACGTGGTATATGAATTAACAGAGTCACCATACGACCAAGCAATGTTCTCAACCTTATCATTCTCATCTACTGTATAGTCATAAACAAAGTCTTGATCTGCCTCTTTTGTTGCCTTACATGCCTCAAGAAGTTCCATCGTATCATTTTCTCTTTTCTCGTTGAGCAAAGCATCATTTTCTTGAACCACTTTCTTCCGGTTTTGAACAAAATTCCTAACATCTCTCTCCAAAAAAGGCAATTGTCCACCTTGAATGCCCTTTTCCAACTCCAAAACCTTCACTATACGATGTATAGGAAACCCAGCTTTTGAAAGCAGCAAAATTCTCTCTTGATCTGCCTCATGAATCTTCCTATATGCAGGCAAGAGGCGCACCTGGTCATCTTCTAAAAGTTCATGATTATGAACATTGCTAAATTGTACAACAAACCATTGTGAAACCCCATCTATTACCTCCTTGGACAAATACATCTTCGCATCACATCCACACCGGACAGATTTCCTATCTCTATGGTGTTCCCCAGTCGGCTTTTTCCTCACAGGTGCAAAACCAGAACGATAGCAAACAAAATCACGCTTATAAATACCCAATTGGGGGCTCAATCTGGACCTCTCTTTTCTAATTGAAAACCCATTTTTCCTAGCAAAATTCCCATAATACTCAAAGGCATCCTCATCGCTCTTAAACACCATCCCAACATAAGGAGCAACCATGGCTTCAGACTGAACCGACTCATTTTTTACCAACTGGGATGCTATGGATGTTTCTTCAGCATCTCCTTCATATGTTACATAACATTTCCAGTCCCCACACGGGCATTGCTGCCTCCGTATCCAAATGTTCTTTGATGGTACGGATGTCATTATTTACAGTAAATTAGAGATATAAGCAAGTAAAACGAATGCCACTGCAATCCTAGACTCACCCAAAAGTTAACAGCATAAAACCTTCAAGAGACAATGAGTTAAACAATAATTAAAACAGCTCATTGCAGATAAGAATACACATACAACTAATTCTTAAGCAATCCACTTGAGCTAAGATGCAAATCTCATCAAATGGAAAAAAAAAGTCACAAATATTCTGTTTTGAGTCACAGTGAAAGTGAGAAAAAGAAAAGGAAAGAGAAAAACAAGAGAAACTACAAATATCAAAATGTTAACAGAACTGAAGTTGAACGAATAGAAAAACTTACATAACAAAGTGGTTAGGCAGTGAAGATCAACGTAACACTGAAACTAAAGGAAATTGCTTTAACGCTTTTTCTTTTTCTTTTTCTTCTTCCTCTCCTTGCTCTTCTTCGCCTCCTCCCCCGTCTTCCTCTTCCCCTTCCCCAGCTCGTCGACTCCTTTTTCCTTTTCCCTCGTATTATGAAAGATAACCTGAGAATCCACCATCGGGCCTGATGGACGATGTTGTTAGCCCAAAAGGTTAGGCCCTGTGATCAATGCAATTCAGAATGCCCGAAAAATGGCTTCAGGCCCACAATCCACTTTCTTTTAATATAGTTTCATTGTGAATGACGATTCCAAATTTTTCTTGGAAAACTCTTGACTTATTCCAAGTCTATATGTTATTGTGCTTTCAATCCAATAGTCCAGAGAAACTAATCAATCCCTTTGCACCATCTTCCTGTTCTAAACGCTACTGCTCCTATCTTCCATAAGTGTTTTTTGTTGCATGTTGATTGTTGTCACATCTCCTTTTCCTTTTACAATCAAATTTCAGAAGTTAGCTTTCTTAAGTATGATAATATCCTTCATTTTCCAATGTCTTCTTTGGTTTTATGTTCATTGGCATGGTTGAGTTCTGTTGATCTTCCTTGCATGGCACCATTTTGCCGAATGGAGATACAAGCAGGGATTTAACCTTTTATTGTTTTTAATGCTTTTTGAGTAAGAGAAACCATATGTAACTTTTTTGGATATCAAAATCACAAGTTCAATTTGAAATTTGTATAAAAATGACAGACAATTTAATAGATACGTATGTTAATTATCAATTACAATTAACTTTTTTTCTGAAAAGTTCTAAGTCAATGTTATTTTTTATTCAAAAATCTAATCCACCCAACCGGTTTTCCCAATAGCTATAGAGGGTTAAGGCAGAAGATTTGAACCCTTCCCCTTTGGTTTTTGTTCAGATAATTATATTAACCTATTTGTAATTGTCGTTTGAGGGAGAGAACCAACATGAAAGAAATGTGTTTGAATGTGATAAATAAAAAATATCTTGTAAAAACAATTTGCTCACTTAAAAATTACAGTGCAAATGACAAAATGGGAGACATAAACATCATGTCGATTTGTACATGTCAGTCCGTGGGGTGTAGACACAACACAGGTTAACCCCAATCTATGATCGGATTGAACTCTTAAATTAAACACTTGCATGGACCAACAAATGAATTGAGGAATCAATACATAACCTATTTCAGGCATTTTTTGGTTGAATTGCAAATTTAGAGGTCGGCGGAACAAAGTGCCAAAGAACATACACACAGAGCTGCCAACTGCATCTATTTATTATACTTGCGGAGCATGCAATTTTCAAGTACATACATACAGAGTTGCTTTTTGATTTTGGAAAGATAAAAGAAAAAAAGATTACTGCTTTGGGTGAAATAGTTAAACAAGTGCTATCTCATTAATATACAGGAGAAGCAGGTCCGACCCTATGCATGATCACTCAAATTTCTGAGACTCCTCTGCGTGTTCTGACCGGGCTGCAACGTAGTCTAAGAGTCCTTGACCCGCCTTTTCACCATGAACTTCAGTTGCCAACTGCGAACCACCACCGAAAGCGATTATTGCCACCAAGAAGACGGTTGTAGAAGCAAAAAGAGGCCAAAAGTAGGTGAGAATCGTGAGCAGACGAGGGGCTACATATAACAGAAAGGCGATGATGAATGAGGCAAGGATTGCTATGGTGAAATGATATCTGTATTGGACCAGCTTTTGTTGGATATCCATTGCTTTCTTGGGTAAACAATTATTAATATCAAGGAAGGAAGAAAGGAGAATAGAATCGGCCCAACGAGTAACAATTTTGGTTCTCTCCCTCCCTTGGGAAATGCTGGTTTTCGGAGTTCACAGTTGTTTTTAAGCTTTGCCTTGTCCTTCTGTCTTGTTTTTCTTGCAAAGATTCTTCGTGTTTCCTAGATAATCCAACTCTGATTTTGGCTCTTTTCATCTAATTACTTACCCTCCTCACCTGTTCCTCCCATAGGCAAAGGGTTTACTTTAACCGAAAACGGTTGAGGCTTAACTGTCACAGCTGTCAAATCCCATCACAAAAAGCAGTTAGCGAAAGTGTCTTGAATTCATTCAGAACATCTTTCTCCTTTCCCCTTTTCTTGTTTCCCCCAAAAGATGGACAAAAGCTGCAAGCAAAACATGTATCAAACAAAGTAGAAAACCCGAACGGTGGCGAAGGGAAATCGGGCAAAGTGAGGGAGGAAGGGCAAGTTAGTCATTGCTGTATTTGGTATAGATGCTTTGTCCACTTCTTGGATTGGTCGGTTGCTTTGTCTCTCAATCGAGTGGCTGCTGCTTTATGATTGAAACTAAGCCAAGGTTAGTACTTAGGAAAGGAAAGGCATATCTTTCTTTTTCTTAGTTTTCTAATATTCAGTGATTGGTTTGGCAGAAAAGATTAGCTAATCAAAGAAGGAAAAATGAGTAATCCCATTCCCACCTGGCCTGGTTTATTCTTTGTCTTGGATGTTCACTAATGAAAAAGTATAACTTTGTAGGAGGACAATTGCTCTTCCACTAACTATTCAAGCCATTTATGAGGTTCACTTGCCTAATCGATATGAATCAAATTATTCCTCTTTTCTTATTGATTCTTAATTCACCTTTGTAAACAAAGAGTAAGATAGTCCTGAAAACTGTTGAAAGTAATCTCAAGTGACCATAATTGTCAAATCCTGAGAAAACTTGATCTTCTCACTAAAACAAAAGAAGAAAAATGAGAAATAGATCCAAAAGAGTCAAAGCCAGTATCAGCTCAGAGTTGAGGCTTAAGCCTTCTGAATTCTGATAGGCCCCGAAACCAAAATAGGGACATAGGGCTTCACAGTGCTTGATCAGCCATCAAACCAACACCCGGATGGCCCACCACAACCTTTATTTAAACAGGCAATTGCCCACCTTCAAGCTAAAAGTCTAGTCGAATCTTTATTTATTACTTATTCTTCTTCCGTTCGTGACCCATACCCATGAGTCACTCTCTCTCTAAAGAGATTAGAGAAGAGTAACCAAGATAAGAGTTCTGTCTTACTATATGATTTAAGGAAAAGAGATTTATAGTCAGTGTGCCGCTAATTGGCATATCTCTTTGTTGTCGATTAGAGACCTTCCTTGCCCTGCTTAGGGCTATGCGATAGCACCCAAGGGGACCTATTCTATTTGAACAAGACCACAGGAACCATAGTCACACGGTCAACTCGGTAGTTGGAAGCAGAACTGAGACTGAATGTAACTGAAGGAAAGGGGAAATAGGTACGATAGGAGGGCACGGTTAAGCAGGTAAGCGAAGGCTCTCTCTCTCTCGCTCTGTGGTCTTGTGTAAAGCCTTTCCTCCCATTATTATTATTGATCTTCATTCTAAGTGAGCAAGTCGAAAGCAGTTGAGGTGATAGCAATAGTAAGCAGGGAGACAGAAGCAAGAAGTCTTCAAAAAACTTGTGTGTAATAAAGCTTCCCGGTCGCATTTCATTGGTCTCTAAGGCAAAGTCTCGCATAATCGTTCATCGATCTTTTCTTCTTTCTTCAACCGGTCCCAGAACAGCTAAATGTCCGAAGTAAAATCGGCTTCCCTTTTTGGAGAAAAAGGACCCATACCCGTTAAGACCTGAACTGACAGAAAGGCACCTACAGGGATTTGCTGTCTCAACCCAAACTGATCTCGTAGTTTGAGTTTGATCTCTTAGCCCACTTAACAGATAGCCTTTGACAACATTTTCATCTCCATTAAAAGATCTCGGGATGTAAATCCTTAAAAGAATTTGTTGTCTGGGTTCAAGGCAACCTAATAGATCAAACAGCACTCAAAAGATTCACCCTTTTTTTAAATTGATCAGTTATCATTCGTTGCAATGGCTCCATTAAGTTCACATAAGCTGGGACCCGTAACTACAAAAATGCAAGACTGCTTAACTACAAAAGCAATCGCACAATAATTTACCTACTCAAAACCTATCAGAAACAGGAGAAAAAGGAAAAGGAGACGCCTCTGAAAAGCTTAGCTTGATCGCAATTCATATCACTTTCAAAGCAAGATTAGTGGACAATTCAATTACGTTATGATTAACATCAAAACCCCCATTATCTTAATCAAAACCCCATTTGACTGTTTTGGTTCCATTCAGGTTTGGTTATGGTTTTTTCTCTACTTAAAGGGTTTTCGGGTGTAGGTGGGGGCGGTAGAGTCTTCCCTTTGTCGCCTATCTAATCACCACGTAATATCTTAACAATTGCCAAATGGCTTATTGTGTAAAGCCTAGAAACAGCTGGAGCTCCATGTATGTTTTTTTCTCTTTACATATCCAATCATCATACTTTCAAGCAAAGATGAGATGGAGACTGAGGGGTAAATTTTCTCATACATACGAATGTGTTTGTTCTTTCAAGCCACTTTTATCACTTTCAGCTCGGAGTCATCAATACCTCATTAACTTAATTTGTTTCAATTCAAACTGTGGTTTGAGTGGCTTCCACAAAGAACAAACAAGACAAGGCCTTGGTTTCAGCAATATTTAGCGCTTAAGTAATCGAATTACTCCAGAGGAGGAGCTTTCCATCAACGTAGACAGGATCATGACTTGAGCAAAATTCTCCAGGATTCTGTTCTGATCCTTCCACTAAGACTCAATCCTTTGTTTGCTCCAACAGAAATGGACAAAAAGGGAAAAATAGCAAAGAAAAACTTTCTCCTTGTATCTTTTTGGAATTGGGAATTATCGAAACAAGTAAAAATATTGCAGGGGCATTCATAGCTTTCCCACTGTAATTGTAATTCTTTCTTTTTCTTCTAGAAAGCAATGCTTTTCCATCCCCTCTTATTTAGTGACAGACATAACGTAAATGAGAAACAGTTGTTTTGGACAATTAATAGCAGAAATTACGATCAAAAACTGAAATATGTACTTCTACTTGTATACATGTAGTTAACATGCAGAACCATGCATGCTTACTCATATGTTAAATGTGGCATTGCATATCCCATTTGAGAAATGAGAATTCCTCCTTAGGAAGGGTTTCAAAAGGAAAGGTATATTATCAATAGTGGGAAAGTGATGAAAAGAAAGGGTACCTTTTTCTTCTCACTCTTCTGC